TGGGGCGCTGACGCCGCCGGCCCGCGGCGGGAGGGGGGGGGTGGTATGGCGGAGGTGGTGCCAGCTCTCGCCCACCTCTGTTCTCTGCTAGGCTGGTGGTAAAGCTGGGAAGGACTCCGGAAAGACCAAGACCAAAGCGGTGTCCCGTTCTCAGCGGGCTGGATTGCAGGTGAGCCGGGGACTGGGGTGTGAGTTGGCTTTCCCTTTCTTTCATAGTCTGCTGTCTGTTGGCCTGAATGGCACAAAGATCTGTTCGATCCTTGAGTGTGTGACTATATTTAGACCTTTGGCATATCTGTGCAGGAGGGAAGAGAATTTCCTTGTGGCCGTTGCTACTGCTTGTGGTTAGAATTGTGAAGTTGCTGATGTGAACTTGGCATGCAATGTTCTTAGCTGGATTCTCAAGTATTGAAATGTAGTCTGGTACCAGTTGTACTTCTGCCACTGGGATTCTGTTGGCTGGCATGTGGTTTGGAGTAGTAGCTTTCTTTTTCTGTCTCTGTAATCACAGCCTATTCATGCTTTTGTTATTTTCCAGTTCCCTGTTGGCCGCATCCACAGGCACCTGAAGTCTAGGACTACCAGCCATGGGCGTGTAGGAGCCACAGCTGCTGTGTATAGCGCTGCAATCCTGGAGTACTTGACAGCTGAGGTAAAGCTCCTGCAAGGGGTGCAAGCAAGTTGGACAACTTAGAAATGGCGTAATGGGCACAGCCTACTGTATTTTACCAATTTGGAGTGTGCTATGAATTCTTCGCTTGCTTTGAGCCAGTTTTAAATGCGTGCATCATCAAGAGTCCATGAAATACGCATGGGACCTCTTGCTCTGCATTTAGTGCAGATCAAATAGCTGTGACTTATAGGAAAGATGGGAGTGCAAAGTATTTTATAAAACGTGCCATTACAGCATGTCGTATCTGCTGTAAAACACGCTGTTCTTGGGGGGAAAACTAAATGCAGAGCTCCAAAGGAGGAGCTCTTTCAAAAGAGGCATTGTTTACTGTTTTGGTGTTGCTAATAGTGTATCTGGTGTAGGGAATAATGTAGCTAAGGCTGTGCAGTTGGTTTCTCCTCTTGACTTGTATAACTGTTTAAAAATGGCCTTGTCCTCAGGTTCTTGAGCTGGCAGGAAATGCATCCAAAGACTTGAAGGTGAAGCGTATCACTCCCCGTCACTTGCAGCTTGCAATTAGAGGAGATGAAGAATTGGACTCTCTCATTAAGGCAACAATTGCTGGTGGTGGTATGTAAATTGCTCGCTAATTGTTTGTGATGAGTTGGGTGGCAAGAACTCTAACAGACTAGAGGTTGCTGAAGGCTGTCATTTTATTTGAAGTGCAAAGTTTAGGAAAATTGTTGATGAGAAATAACATGGTCTTAATTGTTGCTCTTTCTTAGGTGTAATACCGCATATCCACAAGTCTCTCATTGGAAAGAAAGGACAACAGAAAACTGTCTAAAGGATACCAGGATTCCTTGTTATCTCAGGACTCAAGTACTTAATTGTCCAGTGTTGGTGATTCCAGTGGACTGTATCTGTGAAACACGATTTTGCCTTTTTGTAACTTTGAGAAGCTAAAGCTCCCTTGAGCTTTCTAACAAACCAAATTTCTGCATTGAAGTCTTAACCGTATTTAAGTGTTACCATGGCTTCAAAGAAGCTATTGTATTTGTAGTGGGTTTTGATTGAGCTGACTGTTTTTAGATTGGTTTAAGTAAAGGAAGTGTTTGGGTTTGTACAGACTTTTCATCCACTAGAGTGGAAATATTCAATAAATGTTATATGAAGACTGAGTGTTTCTTGTCCACTCACTGGAAAAAAATACAGTGAGTTCTTGGTTCTTCCAAGAACGTGCAGCTGCGTTTGGGCCACCTGGAAACACAGCTCTAGAATGTTGCCGTCAGGGTCTCATCCTGCCAGGCCACATCCTTGCAGGGTGATGGGTGGCTTTGGCAGGGCAGATGTGAGGCTGGTGCTATTTGAGGCCACTTCTACTTGATGTCAGCCTTCATAGAGGGAAGGGGTCTACTGTGGAGGAGGAGGGCGGTCAACTGAATGGGTGTTGAAAAATCCACGCTTTCAGTTGACTTTCTATGGGGTAGAACCTGACTTCTTGCTGTTTTCTTGTAAAAGGCCTTGGAGTGACACCTGTAAAAGAGTCTCCAGCAGAGTCTCCAACCTGCAGCAGGTAGCAGCCGAGTGGCTGTTCCAGGGTGGGCTTTTCTTCTGCTGGCCTTTTTTCTGGCTTGGAAAGCCCTTGCCCTGTGGTGATGGGGTGGGTGGACACAACCTCCACAATTGGAGTTTCAGGGTGGAGCGGTGAAGTTAAGGTTTTTAACTTCTGCCATGCAGTAGCAGCTGATCAAGGGAGTTTTTAGTCACAGCTTATGGTCTCAAGTAGTTCTGCTCAGCTGGAGCTTGTTCCTTTCAGTGCAGGGCTGCCCCTTGGTGAGGGAAACCTCAGCAGCAGGGGTTCTCCAGCCTGGTGGGGCAGCCAGAGCTGCTCTCCCGGCAGCGAAATACATCAAATAAAGATGCTCCTGCATTGAACAGGCCCCTCTGTTCCATAGTGCCTCTCAGGTGAGTGTCACCAGAAGGTGCTGACCCAGATGGTGAGCGTTGCTCAGGCCTCCATCACTTGTGCTCCTCCTCCTCGGGTGCAGCGCTCGAGTGCTGGCTTCCCAGCCACGCAGGAGGTAACTGCTGTTGCTAATTACAGCCAATAATAACAAGGTGCTAACGAGTACCTGGCAGCACGGTTAACGCACCCTCAGTGCCGGCGCTTGGGGCCCGAGCGGCGAACGAGCGGCCCTTACCGGGGCGGCCGCTGGAGCGGCGGGGAGGGCGGGGCGCCCCGGTGCCGGTTGTCGGCGCATGCGCGGCGGCGCCCCGGAAGCAGGCGGCGGGCCGGGCAGGCTGCCGGGGCCGAGTGCCGCGCTGGGGCTGCGGGTACCGCCGGCGCGGAGCGGTGGGATGAGCCCTGCGGAGTGAGGGGAAGCCCCCGCCCGCCCCTCCTGCCCGCTCCGCTCCCCTCCTCTCCTCTCTCTGTCCCTCTCCCCCGCCCGGCTCCGCTCTGGCTTCGGGCCCCTTCTCTCTGCGCTGCGGCGGGCGGAGGCGGCGGAAGGAGAAGCCGATGGAGGGGAACCGGGACGAGGCCGAGAAGTGCATCGGGATCGCGCGGGAGGCGCTGGAGGCCGGCAACCGCGACCGCGCCCTCCGCTTCCTCGGCAAGGCCCAGAAGCTCTACCCGACCGAGACGGCCCGAGGTGAAGCCCGGCCCCCTCCCCTCCGGCCCTGACTGCCGCGGCCGCCCCTCCTCCTCCTCTCCTCCGCCGCCGGGACGCGGGGGGACCGCGGGGCCTGCGGGCGGGGGGCGGGAGGAGGGTGGTCTCCTCAGGCCAGGCGGCCGTTAGCCTGAGGCGCTGAGGCGAGGGACACCCAGCGCTGCCCTCACCGCCAGCGCGGGCCCCCGACGGTGTGCGGGACTGGGCTGTGGGGGAAGGCCGGAGTGATGGTGGAAGTGCCCCGGAGGGCACGGTGGATCTCCGCCCTCAGCGCCTGCCTGCGGCGCCAGGGGAAGGGGAGGCGGGGGGCTACCTGCCACCTCGCCCAAGGGGTTCGCTCTGGGGCAGAGCCGGGCTCCTCGCCTGCGGTTCCCCCCCTCCCGTTAGCCCTCAGTCGGTACGCGTAGCCGAGCAGGCCGGGTTTAGGCCCGATTAACGGCAGGACACCTCAGGACGAGACAGGCCGGGTTGCCTTTTCCTCTGTCACCGTGGATTAGTCCTGGCTGCCGGCCTGCCGTGAGGAGCTGCTGCTCCAGGCTGGGCAGTGGCCTCATTCTCCGACAGACGGGAGTTTGGGGGTTTTCTCGGTTTCCCCTCCCTTTTGGTTGTAGAGTGGCTGCGTAGGAATGGCAGACAGGTTTAACTTCCCTGGGGAAAATGCAGGGGGAGGTGGCGACCCCTGTGACTTAGTTGGCTCTTCAGACGCTCCTGTGCTAGAGCTTGACAAATAATTAGCATCTTTCTAGCAAAAGGTATTTAGAAATTATTCTTTTTTTAAAAAACACAATAGTAAGGCTTCAGTGTACCCGAACTGTTACCTGCCTTGGACTCTCTCTGTCACACGGTATCAGAAGTCAGCTCGAAATGCCTTCGAACGCAGCGGTGACTTGTTGCGTTCCTCTGGTTCTCCCTTACGTTGTCTGTGCCATGGAAGAAACAGGATAGACTTCAGGGCTCTCTACTGGCTGAAAGGCCTCAGAGACGTTTACCATGTTTGGAACGTTACTTTGGGGTGAAATCCTGACTGGAAGTGTTCTGTGCTGTGTTTTATACTGTAGTGAAGCTTTTGGTCAGGTGAGAACTGGGTGAACCTTTTCTTGACCTCTCTTATCTCCTGACAGCTTTTTACATGCAAACAATAAGTGAAGTCTCATCAGTGCTATTCTTTTTTATAGCATATACTTTTTTTTGTCTGTGTGGTTTGGGTTTCTTTTTCCCTGCAAGGCAGGATGGATGTTGCTGGTAGATCACCTGGAAGAAGGACACCATTGCTTTAGATCAGGAATGTGGCTCTGTTGATATTCTTGCCACGTTAGATACCTCCCTGAAATAAAAACAAGCAAAAGTTTGCCGTATTCCCCTAAATTCCTGTGCCTTAAGAAGATGACATGCGTGAAAATACTTTCAGCTTTTTGGAAGCTGTGTTAGTCAATAGGAAGGCTGAGGGTTTCAATTCAGCTTCTTCCACCAAAGAGGGTGAATAGACTTGTTTGCTTCTCATAGCATATTACAGTCTTATACCTCCAAGATAACGATTACGGTAGTTCTAAAAAAAAAAAAAAAAAAAAGAGATACCTCCATCTGATTTATATTTTGAGTGTTTGGTTGGGTTTGTTTTTTTCTGTTTTAAGTAGGACTGCTACTACATAACCACCATTGTAAAGTACTCAGTGCAAGAAATAGATGGCTAATTAGGCTATTGTCTGTAGGACACTTGTTTTAGTCACTGTGGAAATTACCAAAGTATGTCACAAATTAGGCACAGACCTAGTGAAAAGGAGGTGGTTCTTGTGTTTATGGTAGTGGACTGTAATCTGGGGAACTGTGTAATGAAACTAAATACTTCACAGAATTTCTCTGTGATGTTAAATAAGTCACTTCACTCGGTTTCCATTAGTGATGGCTAATTGTTTGTGCTTCATTTTTCAGGTATTCAGCTTGAAACAAGGGCCTGATTTGTGGAACTGGTGGGCAGTTAAAGCTCCATCTGAAGCTAATGAGAATTGCAGATGTCCTAATACCACTGAAAAAAATCAGGCCCTAGGCCTGATTTGAACTAGGTACTTAGAAATTAGGGGTCTCTGTAAAATTGTAATGTTTCTGTGCTTCAGTTTTCTAGCTGTGGAGGTTGGTAATTCTTTTCAAATCATCCTATTTCCTCCCAAAACAGCACACAACTCATTGAATTTTTATTTTTTTTTCTAAAAGCCTGTGGCACTTAAGTAGCCCTGTTACAATTGCAGGAAGCTGCAAGGGCATAGAATGTCCTGTTTTGGGGACAGGAGCTGGAAGGTGTGCAATAAATTAGAACTGGAATTTTATGCTGACGAAGAACAAGCGAAATTACTGCTTCATTATCTCATTGTCATCTTTTAGATATATTGAGCAAGGGGTCCTCTTGGAAGAAAAAACCAAAAAAACCAAAGCTAGTAATTTATTAGATAATTAAAAATGCGTCCTAGCACATACCAAAGAGAAAGAAACAGTTAAGGTTTTGTGAGCTCTCTTGGTTCTAATACAAATTCTTATTTTACAGTCATAATGTGTTGGGTTTATATGGTGATAGGACAACATGGTGCAGCCCCAGTTGTCAGTGTGCTGGCTTATTTTCTTTTTGGGGTATGCATTAGAAGGTAGTACGTACCAGCTTGTCAGTGATGTCCCGGATGCTTCATAGGTTGTATCTTCTGTATCATTTTAGGAACAATTGCCCACCATTTCACAAATGATGTTCCATCAGTGATAACAGCAACGAGAATGATAGCACTGAATCTTTTACTGATAGGAGTTTCCTCCTCCTCCTGATATTATACTGGATTGTAAAAGGGCAGGGGGCAGATTTTAACTATTGTCTCTGAAAGAATGCTATGTATGGTATAGTTTTGGCGATATTTGGAAATGGATTCAGCACTAGTTCAGTCATCAGTGAAGTCCGGTTTTGCTAAACAAAGCTTCTGTTCGAAACACGCTGACTGCAGCAGTGCTATTTTAAGGCTTTACTGGTGTGAAATGTAAGGTCAGTGCTTATTTAATGATACTCAGCTAATGACTTCGTAGTAGCAGTGTTCCTGTTGACGTCACTCTTTGCTAGAAAATTGTTTTACGTTTCAGCTGTTCAAAATATTGTTTTGATTGTGGGCTTTGCTAATGATTCATCTTGCAACTGAATGGAAACTAATTACTTGTCTGGGAAAGATTTGTAAGAGTGGATTTAAAGATAACAAAGGACAAGATCTCCTTTTCAAATTTAGGTGTCATTCTTTTTGAAGTTGAAGGCAGACATTAAGGACAGCTTTGTTTTTCAGTACTTAAGGATTTCTTGTACTATTTCCTGATGATGCCCGTTAAAACAAACTTCTCTTTTCATGAGTATGTGAGCTTAGTTTTTTAGGCTATTGCTTTAGTATGAATTCTGAATTCCACAGTTCTTCCATTAGTGGAAGTGGGGGTCATGTTCATTGCATAATGGATCAAATGCAGTGCAAGGATCTTTCATTTAGCGGCAGGTA